GTTCTTTTATGACAGATAAGAGATAATGAATAGATACATAGGTAGATAGATAGATAGATACACAGATAGATATTTTCTACATAGACCAAGTATCAAAAAACTATATTGAATAATGAGTTCAGAAATAGATTAGGAGGGGGCTGGAGAGATGGCTTAGAGGTTAAGAGCACTGACTTCTCTTCCAGATGTCCTGAGTTCAATTTCCATCAACCACATGGTGGTTTACAACCATCTATAACGGCATCTGATGCCCTCTTTTTCAGAACATTGTATACTTAATAAATGAATTAAAAAAAACTTTAAAAAAATAGATTAGGAGGATGTTATGATTGGATTCTCTTTCTGTATATTTATACATTAATACTCTAACCTTTGATATATTAGAAGTAAACTCATTTGCAGATAGAATTTTTATAAAAACAATAAAGTTAAAATATGTTTATTATGGTGGGGTGTAAATAGTATTAGATTCTTATAAAAGGAAAAAAAATTGACACAAAAATCACAGAAAAAAATGAAATTGGGAGAAGAGAGCTCTCTGCATTGTGAGAATATTCTGTCATAGTCTCTGAAAAAACCATGCCTGAACCAGCTTGATTTTTTAGCTCAACACTCCAAAATTGTGACTCAAAACCATATTTTCTTCACTACTTATTCTGTGTACTTTGTTGTGACCACATTAATAAATGCAAGATCACCCCTACTTAAAAGTGAGTAGAACTGATATAGAGAAACAGAAGCAAAAATTTATGAAAATGGAGCCTTTATCCCACAGAATACCTGACAAGTATTTTAGAAAGTAGCTATAATTTCTGTTCTGACTAGTTTCTGTCACCCAGCACAAGCTAGAGCTGTGCAGAAGAGAGCACCACCATGGCTGAGAAAATGTCTCGGTAAGGCTGGCCAGAAGGCACACCAGGGGGGCCTTTTCTCAACGAGTGACTGGCATGGGAGGGTCCAGTTCCCAGTAAGCAGTGCTCTCCCAGTGTTAAGTCCTCGGTATCATCAGAAAGCAGTCATAGAGGACAGGCAGTAATCAATACTCTTCTGTGGCCTCTGCATTAGTTTTTGCTTCCTGCTCTCTGACTTGAGCTTCTGCTGTCTTCCTTCCCTGGATGATAGACTAAAAGCTGTAAAGAGAAAGAAACTCTTTACTCCCCAGATTGCTTTAGGTCATGGTCACTATCACAGAAACAGCAAAGTAACTAATACAAATTTCATTCTTGTGCCATTCGCACACATTTTTTTTTTGGAAGGGTAAAACAGAAATCTCCTTACTGAGTGTAGGAAAATATCAAATATAAACTAATATATTTTAGAGAATTCAAGATGACTAGTACATATTAAAATAAACTTAATAGTTTTATCGTAATGTCTTTACCAATAAGAATATGTATACCACATAAATATTCAAAAAGTGTGTGTATGGGCACATACACTGATATTGTTACTCTGTAAGAAAAAGAAGAGTGGGACCACACTAAACATGCAGTGATAAGATTGACTGAACTACACACAGAATAGAATGCATCATAGTACCTGTCAGCAGGTAGGACCTTCAAGAGACATGCAGCCAATGATAGAGCATGGATGAAGGGTAGGCCTTTATGTTTGGTTATGTCTCTAAAGAAAAGTTGTTCAAAGATAAACACTTCCTTCAAATAGAACAGCACACTGTGATCACCTCTGTCCATTTTCAGTCTGTAGAGTTATGATGTTTGAAATTAGAAGATGCTGATTAATTAAGTTTTTTTTTGCTTTATTTCTCTAATTAATTGTATCCTGTTCATGATTACTGTTGTGTTAACTAAGCAATTGATTGTTTGAAGTCCTAAAGTGTGTTTTATCATGAAGGTTGGTGTGGAGGGCCGGACCACATTCTCCATTGCTTCTAGGAACAAAGGTAGAGATTGACCTCTGTGACCCCAAGGTGTGGCAGTACACGCCTTTAGTCCTGATGCCTGGGCGGCAGAGGCAGATTGACCTCTGTGACCTCAAGGCGTGGTAGTATATGCCTTTGGTCCCAACGCCTGGGAGGCAGAGACAAGCAGATCTCTGTGAGTTCAAGGTGATGTAGCACACGCCTTTAATCCCAGCGCACGTGCTTGGTAACTCTCTACCGCTGCGTCCCTGCCTACTCCCGAGGCATCATCTGGGATAATGGGCAGTGGACCAATCCAAGAGTGACACGTCAGAAGCGAGGACTGTTTCCTTTATAAGGGCTGGGTTCCCCTCATTCGGGGGTCTCCGCTTTGGAAGCTGATGCTCTCCCTCTCAAGAGGTATTAAAGCTTTACTGCAGAAGTATCCTAAGTGCCCCGCGTCGTTCTTGCTGGCGAGACGGTAGCGCGGGACAGGTTGGGAACGCTAAATATGATAATAAATTTAAAAATGATTGCAAACTATATGAAAAATAGCAAAAATAAATAATAGTTATATTTAATTTAATGAAAAATCATCAATGATGAACAAAAGCAGGGGTGAATATTGTTACATGTAATAAAGAAGGAAGAAGCAATAGACGATAAACTTTATGGAAAGCACACTGGACATTTAGCTCCACACTCATAGCCAGGTCAGATCTTGTTCTGATGTCAGTGCATTTTTAGAGCCATAGCTGAGACAGGGATCATGGAGCTGACTGATAGACCACTTCTATAATAGCGTCTTGCCCTTGGAAGTGATTTATTATCTTATTGACTTAGATATGTCTACTGGAAAATAGAGTGACCAGGAGCGCTTGCCTCCTGGAGTTCTTGTGAGTACAAAATGAATTATATGATCTCTCATGCAAAACATGGCCAATGTGTTCTTTTCATCAGATTGATTTATAATGTATATGATATTCTGGGGACATGTTTATTATACAAGAGAAACCAAGAAATCACACTGTACTATTGGGTGAGACAAAGATGAACCCTTATTATTATTATTATTTGTTATTTGATCTTATCAGTGTGACCTATGAACTCTTGAGACAGCCAATTGATTATTGATTAATAATTAATAGATTATTGGTTAATTATTATTGATTGATGATTATTGATTGATCCTTGTTGGACTGGGCCTTCTGCTTCATGGCCATTGTAGAATAGTGTAATTCGCAGTTACATACCATTCCAATTCCCTTCATGCAAGAAGAAGCTAACACCTACACTTAGCAAAGAAATCACAAAATCAAAAACAAAAGTAGTCACTGAAACCTACTCTAAATGAAATGAATTTATTAACCACTGATAAACTCCATAGTGCAAATTATTTTTTTATATTACTGCAGAACACCCATGAAATTCAATAAGTTTCTCAGAAATAAAGATGCTACTCATTTTGAAAACCTCATTATTTACACTGAGGTCATAACTCTCTATAATGTTACAATTTAACACAAAAATGTGGTCAAGGCCAGTATCTCACATTTTTTTTTTGCTTTTTAGAACATTATTTCAATGTAACTATATGCATAAGAAATACACTCATATTGGTTAATAGAATGCAATTATGCTTAACTTTTACTACATGATCTTGACCAGAAACTTGGTACATGTTTTACAATTAAAAAAAAAGAAATGAAAATGGCAATCTGATTTATTTCTATCTATTACAAATGTATTAAAGATCCTCCATCAAAAGCTGCTGAAGGCAGCAGAACCTTGAGAAATACACCATTGGTCTGCCTCTGAAAAGTAACACATATTGCACTGTTAAGGTTTATAAAATTGGCGCAAAACATTGTTGTACTGTTGCAATACCAGTTTTAGGAGTTCTGTAGCTAATGGGGAGCCGATAAGACACATGCAGAACTGTGAAACCTATCAATCATCTCCCTGAAGTCTGGCGCCCTTTTCTACAGGCTTACAGTGGAATTCAACCACCTTTCCCTGCGCTCCGACTCTCTGTTTTCTTGGTGAAGAGCTAATTAAAAGTTGCTGAAATTTTAAAGATGGCAACATCACTAACCGCCGTCTCTATCCAAAGAGCACACAAATAATTTACAAGAACCTGTTTCTTATTCATTTTCTTTCCCATGATGGAAGAAAATCGATGGCTGTGGTTTCCTGTTCATTTGTTTCTCATGTAGTTAGGCACTCTCTCATCTGGACCACTGTATGTCGGCTTCTGTGCCCAATCCTCCACACCTTCACGCTAAACCTTTAGAAAGGGAAAACATCCCAAACTTTCAGTCTGGCCTTGTCTTTGCCAGACTAGAACATTTTCAGTTCACTATTATTCTCCAAACAGGGTCCCAAGTCCTAAAGGTCACTCAGAAGCCGGGCACGTCTATTCCCCTCTTCCCACATTTTCTTGACAGCTACAAATCTCCCACTCCTTCACCGAAGATTCACGGCTGACATTTATTCGCTTAAAATAACTTTACTGACACTAGCAATTTACAAGTGCTTTCTCCCTTTGTATAGCTAATTCATATTTACCTTTAAAATGTTTTCTTTCTTGTCCCAGTCCCACATCTCAAGTTCAGGTATACACACAGGCAAACCCGCATTTACTGCAGGCTGAGCTTTTCCTTAAATGTCTACTTCATCTTTCTGTCCAAGTTCGCTGGAATTGTTGTATGCATTGACTGCCTTTCAGAGAGGTTGCACTTTCTTCCTCCTGCTTTTAAAACCAATAGTGGTTCTGGGACATATGTAAAAGGGGATTCAGTTCTCATTGGGTTTTCTTCTCTGTGTACTGAGGATGAAAACAATGTCCCTGCTTTCTATTTGGCTCTACCCCCAAGTGTATACTCCAGTAGAAAAGCCTACCTAAGTTTTTGGGATATTTCTCCAAAGCCTGTATCTTGCAACAGATATCAAAATGCCTAGAAAAATATAGTGCTATTACAGAAATCATCTGCTTTCTCAACTATACCGGGTAGACTACCTTCATACCGTAGAAATTGTCCCGTGTTGGGGTCTCTGCGTCTGCCCAGTTCTCTCTGTAAGGAAAGTATTTTGCCGGACAGAGTGTGTGCGGGACTCTCACGTCTTTCTTCTGTGTTAGACAGGACTACGAGGAGCTAGAGAAGCAGCTGAAGGAAGTGTTTAAGGAGCGCAGCACAGTCCTGCGGCAGCTGACAAAGACGTCCCGAGAACTGGATGGGATCAAAGTCAACCTTCAGGTGAGCTGGAAACTGATTTTGCCACCCACTGGACGGATATACATTTTTAAACAATTTTCTCTACATCTCTGGGCTTTACTACTTTAATTTAAATGTATTATTGTTTTAGCTTTGAAATAAAATGTCTTTTGATATGCTCTAAAGACCTGCAGTTTCCAAACAACAAAAGGAGTAAACTGTGTACTTGGCAAAGTTATCAGTTTCTCCCAGCTTTCAAAATCAATTTGGTCCCTGTGTTCTTGACAACAAAATGAAGGAGAGGAATTAAACTGAGAGTCAAAAAAAATGTAAGAAGGATATTTAGAAGAGAAATTTAGATTTTTTTCCCTAGACTAGTTCTAAAGATCTAAAGATCCTTTAAGCAACTTTGTTATAGAAATGGATAAATGTTTTACAAAGAAGACTATCATGTTTAAAACATGAGAAAATAAAAGCAAGATACATTTCAGATAAAAAAAATCTTTCTAAAACATCTAGTAGTACCTTATTTTTTCCTATGAAAGCACACTTTTATTTTAGTTAAAGTAGAAACTCTTTTCATACATTATGTTCTAATTATTATTTCTCCTCCCCCGATTCCTCCAGATTCTCCTCACCTCCCCTCCCACTAGGATCTACCCCTTTTCTGCCTCTGAGAGAAAAAAAAACAGTATCTAAAGCATAATAATATAATATAATAGTATAAAACAATCAGAATAGGACAAAAACAACAAACATAGGGAAAAGAGCCAAAGAAAAAGCACAGCAGACACATAAAGACACAGAAACACCCATGTTCACACCCACAGGAAACCCATAGAAAACATAAAACCAGAAGCCATAACATATAAACAAAGGACTGTAAGGTAGAAAACTTTATGGGACACACATTGTGAGACAGAGAATGATACATTTTGATGTCTGACTTTGCATATTGCCTTCACTGAGTACCTACTGTGTACTAAATTCTTTAGTGCCATTGCATGACTTAATTATTTTGACTAAGTAGAGGAAATGGTGCTTTGATTGTGCTATTTTTTATGGTGCATAAGTAATATATTCTAAAGACAGGAGTTCTGAAAGTCAGTAAAGACTCCAGAGCTTAAATATAAGCTAGTTTGCTCCGGAGACTTTTCACACACCACAGAACTGAGGCTGCCTGTATGTTATCTTGGGCCTCAAGGTTTGCATATTACACTGTTGCCATGATGACACTATGGGGAAGATGATGGTGTGATGGGGAACCTCCTTCAGCCAATGGCCTTTGGGAGGCTGGACCAGGTTGGAGTGTGACCTTTGGGTTCCTGAAAAGCTCATATCCTACTCAGCTCTCTCTCTGCTTCCTGCACTCCATACCTTGAGGTTGGACCCCCATTTCTGTTCCATGAGTTTTCCCCCTTAATGAAGAAAGGCATTAAAATACACCATTTTGGAGTAAGTTTGGGATTATTTGACATGCGTTCCTGCTCATTTTTACTGTTGAACTTCAATGGTGGTGGTGCAGTCAACCACTACAGCACTGACTTTGGCCCAACTTACATGCTGGGTTACCTTTCCATAGCTCTTAATCAATTTCCACATGAAAACCTTATTGTAGTTACTAATCTTCCTTTATAGCTGCAAATACAAAGTTTAGAAAGAAAACACAAGTAAGCAATGAGTGGGACCAGCGTTTGAATTTACTGTTTGAACTCTTGTGCAAGTTGTGTTATTCATTGAGAGAGTAAAGTGAACCCCCACCCTCCAGGAGTGGGAGGCACATAGAAGGATTAGGAGGTGCATGAAGAACAGTACTGTGCATCTGGGCATCAGATTCTGAAGAGCAAAGAGGAGGATTCATGAGGCTACACATTGATCTGGTTTTATTGGGGGAAAGCCTAGGCAGAGATTACTGAGAAGAACATTAGCAGGTAAACAAGCCTGGGAGGAATATTCACGACATCGGCCTGTCCTCACGGGGATGGGACACCTGGCACAGGAGCACATCAGCAGCAGATGGCGAGATGCCCTGGAGAGATCAGTGATTACCATGTTCCCATGACACTCTTGTTTCCTTGGTCCAGGTGTCTCCTATACACCAGAATGTTGTTTAAGAAAAATGATTTGGAGCTATGATTTTTAAAGGGGAAAATTGTCCCTGAAATATTGTTACAAGTTTGAGAATGACATTTTGTTTTGTGGCACATAATAGACAAAATGGGTTTTTTTTGTTTTAATCTTAATAAATCTTCTTAGCAAATTTTCCACAAAATTAGCGTGGTATTACATTCATCATAAAGTGAAGAGTAGAGACTCAAGTAGCTCACTGGATGTGGGTAAGTCATTCACATTAAAAAAAAATGTGAGATCAGATTTCAAACATAAAGTAAATACATATACAACAACGCATTATGGGACTTTTCCTGACAAAACATGAACAAAATGACCATTCATCATAGACAGGGAACTAGCGACACCTCACAGGAATTATCCCACCTATGTTCAGCCTGGTGAACTTGTGAGTTAACTTGGAGTTTGTTAGGGTGAATTGGGGAGCTGAGGCTTGGGTCACAAGCAGCTACCCCAGCTCACTGACCTCCAGCAACCTCTGCTGGGACGCTGTGTTTCATTTGTTTGCTTCAAGAGAGGCCCTAGTATTCATGCCTGTCTTGAGCTTACTTTGTAGTCAACGATGAACATGAACATCTGGTCTTCTTTCCTCTACTTCCTTAATATCAGGACTACACACGCCTCCTGCTATGCCCACTTCTTTATATAGTACCGGATTGTGTCCTGGAGGTCTCCACATGCTAGGCAATCACTCTATCTGCTGCTGAGCCGAATTGAAAAACCTATCTTGTCTTCAATAAGGTGATGTTATTGGGCCCAGTGTGGGGAAAATTAGTTGGATGTAATCAGTCACTCTGATTTCAAAATAACTGGTATGTCCTGAGCCAGAGGACAGAGTTCCTCAATACACTCAATAGGTTTTCTTATCTATTTAGTTCACTATTTTATTTAAAAATATTTCTCTGAAGGGCGTGGCCAAACGGTAGTTAAAAATTAACCACACTAGCTTAATAGAAAAGATTTAGTTTTAATAAACAGAAGAAAGGAAAACTTACAAAACCAGAGTTCCAGCGATATGGAAACACAGGGGGCCAAAGAGGAAGCAGCAAGTGCACCTCGATCTTTTATTTGTTTTGTGTGGCCCCAGCAGGACACACCCTAAGAAGAATGTGATTGGCTGAAGTTCCCCATCATCTCCCCCTTTGTCTAAACAAGATTGAACTAAACCCAATATAACTATATACAGTAGTAACACATACCAAGTATAAAATTACAAACAACAAACAATATTATGTAAGAAACATATAACAAAAGTTTTACTTAGGAGTCTAAATAATGTAGAGGGTAACTATAACTATCTAATCTTTAACTCCATCAAAGGTCTGAGAAGGGAAGTAATTTTACTTAAGCAGCCCGGAAATACAAATGAGAAACTTTCGAAACGTGTAACAAATGACAGAGATAACTGACTACCTGGGCAATCACCCAAAATCTCATTTGTAATGTTGAGGCAACCAACTTTGGCTAAGGCCTAACTGACATGCCATTTTTAAAGGCAAGGAACTTTTTAGAACTGTCTTACCCTGTCTTGGCAGAATAAGACAATCTTGTTTTTATCCATTTACAGATACTCTGTAAATCTGTCAGTGGTCGAGGTATGGGCTTTTTTTTGTCCAAAGGCCAGTTCTGCCAAGAAGACAAGCTCCAAGTGGAGTGTCTTTGGTGCTCAACATTCTCTTGGGAATAGAGGGTGTTGCCAGGAGTGATTGTGTCTCGTTAGCACAGAACTCTAGGTTAGATTAAAGGCCATTTTTTACAGCTCTTCGAAGAGGTTGAAGATTATATTATCTATACTAAATATAATCTCTATGTATCTAAAGAACCTGATTAGCCTAAATATAAATATGACAAACATATATGACTATTGATTTATAATTTTCGATATTTATTTTACTTGAAGACTAAGAGAATAAACAACTGTGCAATAAGTGAGCACAATCGCCTTTAAATGTAAACAATGTATATCATTACAAAAATAATACATAAGTATCTTAATCAGAGGTAGAAATGTACACCGCAATATGGAAAATATATGTATATATATATCAATACAATATATATATATCAATACATAACAAATGTTTTAAACAGAGGTAGAAGCATACTCACATAAAATATTTAATATATCAATATACATACAAGAATCAATGTCAATATAATTTTTAAAAACAATAACTCACAAATACCAATATATTATTATCCCATCACCAATTGGCGGCAGCGGAGGTCACCAGCTCCTGGCAGCCTCGTGGAGGCTGGGAGTGCACCGCCAGAGGGAGGGCAGCTGCTAGAGTCACAGTGCAAGCCTGCCTGGAAAGATGGAGCAGTGGGTATGCCCGCCTTGGCTGCCGAGAGGCAGACAGTAACTGCGTGTCTCCGCTGAGCAGGGAAAACTGCGCAGCTGTGATACAAATCAACAGTGGGGACCCGCTGTATTTAATCAGCGGGGAACCCCCAATAAAGGGCTCCAAAAGGCCCCATGAGGGAGCGCCAATTGAAGGGCGTGGTTGATCGGTAGTTAAAAATTAACAAGACTAGCTTAATAGAAAAGATTTAGCTTTAATAAACAGAAGAAAAGAAAACTTACAAAACCAGGGTTCCAGCGATCCGGGAAAGCAGGGGGGCAAAGAGGAAGCGGCAAGTGCACTTCGATCTTTTCTCTGTTTTCTGTGGCCCCAGGGGGATACACCCTAAGCAGAATATGATTGGCTGAAGTTCCCCATCATTTCTCTTTCTAATTTTTTTTTAGTTTCTTCCTTCTTTCTTTTTTTTTTTTGTACTTTTATTAAATTATAAAAGTTTCCATTTCCGCCCCTCCTCCCACCACCCTCCCACTCCCCCCACTCCCTCTCCTCCTCCCTCTCCATCCCTAAGAGCAGTCAGGGTTTCCTGCCCAGTGGGAAGTTCAAGTTCCTCCCACCTCCCTCCAGGTCCAGGAAGGTGAGTGTCCAGACAGACTGGATCCGGAAAATCCAGTATATGCAGAGGAAACAAGTCCCAGTGCCATTGTCAATGGCTTTTCAGAAAGACTCCGGCCAGCGACATTCAGAGAATCTGGTTGGATTGTGTCCTAGTTCAGTCCCAGTCCAACTGGCCTTGGTAAACTCTCATTAGATCTGTCCCCTTGTATCAGTGGGTGATCACATCCCTCGCAGTCCTGATTTCCTTTTTCATTTTCTTCCTCCTTCTGCTTCTCCTTTGGACCTTGGGGGGCTCAGTCCGGTGCTCCAATGTGGGTCTCCATTTGTATCGCCATCCATCGTGGGATGAAGGTTCTCTTTGATCTTGCCGTCTTTGCTCACGTTCTCTTTCCTTCTGCTTCTCGTTTGGACCAAGGTAGTTAAGTCCAGTGTTCCGATGTGGGTCTCTGTCTCTATCTCCATCCATCGCCAGATGAAGGTTCTATGGTGATAAGCAAAATATTCATCAATATGGTTATGGGCCTAGGCCGTTTCAGGCACCCTCTCTTCTGTCCAGAGAACAATCTGGGGATTTCCTTGGACCTGTGATCCCATTTATAATCAAGTCTCCTGTAAACTCTAAGATGACTCCCTTAGTTGAAATATATTCTTCCTTGATCTCATATCCATCCTTCCTCCCTCCCCCCATCCCAGTCCACCTAGATTTCTCCATTCCTCCCCTACTCACTTCTCTCTAACCCTCTCCCCTTCCAACAACCATCCCACCAGCCCATGCACCCGAGGTTACCTGGGACTCTTGTCTATTTCCAATCTCCAGGTAGATAAGTACATGATTTTCATCAGGTTCACCTTCTTATTTAGCTTCTCTAGGATCACGAATAATAGGCTCAAAGACCTTTAATTATGGTTAGAATCCACATATGAGTGAATACATACCATATTCCTCTTTTTGGGTCTGGCTTACCTCACTCAGTAAAGCGTTTTCTATTTCCATCCATTTGCATGCAAAATTCAAGATGTCATTGTTTTTTACCGCTGAGTAGAACTCTAATGTGTATATGTTCCACACCTTTATTAACCATTCTTCTATTGAGGGGCACCTAGGTTGTTTCCAGGTTCTGGCTATTACAAATAGTGCTGCTATGAACATAGTTGAACAAATGCTTCTATAGTATGATAGGACATCTCTTGGGCATATTCCCAAGAGTGGAATTGCTGGGTCCTGAGGGAGGTTGACTCCCAGTTTCCTGAGAAACCGCCACACTGATTTCCACAGTGGCTGCACAAGTTTGCATTCCCACCAACAATGGATGAGTGTTCCCCTCATTCCACATCCTCTGCAGCATAGACTATCATTGGTGTTTTTGAGTTTGGCTATTCTGACAGGTGTAAGATGATATCTCAAAGTGGTTTTGATTTGCATTTCCCTGATCGCTAAGGAGGTTGAGCATGACCTTAAGTGCCTAAATGTTTTGCCTGTACGTGCCTGAGTACCATCTGTATGTAGTTTATGTGCAGGTCAGGAGGGTGCTAGATCCCTTGAACCTGGAGTTACAGACAATCAGTATGGATTCCAGGAAGGTGATAGATCCCTTGAACTCGGAGTTACAAACATGCAGTACACACGCAAGCCAGGAGGGTGCTAGATCTCTTGAACCTGGAGTTACAGACACACATTGTGAATTCCAGTAGGGTACTAAATCCCTTTAACCCAGAGTTACAGACATGCAGTACACACGCAGGCTAGGAGGGTGCTAGATCCCTTGAACCTGGAGTTATAGATAGTTATGAGCTTCCATGTGGGTGTTTGGAACCAAACCTGTTTTCATTCCTCAAACTGCCCTCTTGTCTGTTAGGGGTAGCTATTTTTCCTAAATACACAGAGCACTATTTACTGAATTATTCTTACAGGCAGTCTCAGTTAACTCTGTCAGCCCCTAGGCACCTCTGGTAAAGCTAACAGTGTATTATTCTCTGTTGAACACCGGGCTGAATCTGTTCGGGCAGCACTGTGCTTTACAAGTCTTTGCATAACTCAGGCTAGCTGTTAAATAAACATTAAGAAACAATACACTCACTGCTACTGCCGTCATTCCTCTGCCTTCACAGCCACTCTCTAGAAACCGTTATTGCTACTTAAACTTTTAATATCAAGTATAGATGTTACTCTATTAAACAGTTTACTAAGTATAAATAAGGACCTTATTAAGAAACGTTTTATATGACAGATCCCTGTCGAAGAAGAACTTAGGGGGCTTCTCTGTTCTAATTGATGGCTTCTGAATCCTGAATTTGCAATTATATAAGTAATGACTAGAGTGGCATATGTTATTTTCTTAATACCTGTGTATAGTGACAAGGAATAAAATTACCTGGCCCTCTGTCTTTTTGTATCCTAACACATTATTTTCAATAAGATACAGACATGAATGAAGAAGCTCCTGCCTTCGAGTGCTTTCAACTCCCATCAGGTTATTCCCTGAACTGTGCAGGCAAGCTTTTTATGAGCCCTTCCATTTGCTGGAACGACACAAGAGCTAATTCAAAATACCTTCTGTGGACACACTTTAACAGAACGGGAGAAGATATTTTTTAATTTATTTGTGAAGAGATTGAGAAGCACATGAGATAACTCAGTGAGTGAAGTCCAGGCGAGCCCAGTGGCTGGAGTTTTATGCTTGGGACACATGTAAGTCTAAAATAGAAGGATTAACTCCGCAAAGCTGTCCTCTGACCTGCATATCTGCCTGATGACATGTTTGGCAATATATATCACATGTACACACATACACAAACACACACACACACACACACACCAAATTTTAAGATTTTTTTTGAAAGAAAATGAGATACTTGTAGGCTGTTTTGGTGAGTCTCCACCCAAAGCTGTTTCTGTATTAAGAGTTTAGTATGTCCTACTGTGTATCGTGAACCCTGTGTGTGTCCTTGGCACCATCAGTAGCTGAGGGGACTAATTTTTATATCTTTGTCCAATAAACCAAGTGCCTTAAAATCTGGCACTAAATGTAGACAATAAAGTGAGTGACAGGGTTTTATCTAAGACTCCTTTCCCTCATTTCTCTTTCAGTCTTTGAAAAATGATGAGCAATCTTCCAGAACAGATGTTCAGAAGCTTCTGGAGTTAGGCCAGAAGCAAAGGTAAGACTGCAATTCTATATTCCTTTCTAATCCTTCCTTTCTTTCATTTAGTTTAAGACTTCCTCCTCAGCCCTATTTTTGCAATACTGTTAAAGTACAGCCAGGGAGTTTATCAAAATCCATGTACCATAATATGTGGACTTATCTTCTTGTGGACACTTGCCTTTATATGAAATTTATCCAGTGCTTTGTGTGAAGAGTTTCCCTCATTCAGGAGCTCTGGAAGGGATGTGAGAGTCTGTTGAGGGGCACCTAGGTTGCTTTCAGGTTCTGGGCTATTACAAATACTGCTGCTATGAATATAGTTGAAAAAATGTTTTTGTAGTATGATTGGGCATCTCTTGGGTATATTATCAAGAGTGGTATTGCTGGGTCCTGAGGAAGGTTGACTCCCAGTTTCCTGAGAAACCGCCACATTGATTTCCAAAGTATTTGCACAAGTTTGCATTCCCACCAACAATGGATGAGTGTTTCCCTTACTCCACATCCTCTCCAGCATAGGCTATCATTGCTGCTTTTGAGTTTAGCCATTCTGACAGGTGTAAGATGATATCTCAAAGTTGTTTGATTTCCATTTCCCTGATCGCTAAAGAGGTTGAACATGACCTTATTTCAGGCAGTGACTTGGTAAAGGTTAGTTACACTCAATTCAATCAAGTGAATTGCTGAGACCTATATCCTTGGTTTTTGAATGTTTTTTAAAGTGGTCAAATTTAAAGTCCACATCATTCCATGTGGACTGTTTGATCCACAGGCAAAATGCTGTTACACATCTCAGGTAACACAATGACGTGCTTGTTAATCATGTGTCCTGCTGTCAGCCTGGATCTCCACTGACGACCTTACAGACTGTCTCTGAAACCTGCCATTGATATGCTTTCATGTGAGGCCACACTGTCATTCATTACTCTTCCTTGTTTTGTTTACTAAGTATTGTTTTTAGCTATTAGATGTTAATCTTAAAATAATTTCATAGTTCTTTGTTTATTGTCTTTTTTGTGATTTATTTTAGCAACAGCAATGGGCTACAGGCGTGACACCCCCTTAGCCATCTACGGTCTGGTTAATATTTAAACCCAGTTTTTTCTTTTGTTTGTTTTGTTTTTTGCTTTTGTTTTTCTTCTGTGTGTTTTGGGTTCCTCATTTGTAAATTAAAGCTAATTATCTTAATGATTATAAAAAAGGGCACGTTTGAAGGAATCTAAAGACTTTTTGACCTCTTAGATGTGGGAGTTTCATAGTCTCCTCTTTCTACTGGAGCACTTGAAGTGATGGAGTTAATAGAAATTGATAAAAAAGATTTCATTTAAAAAGAAAAAGTTTGGGACATCTATTGAGCAACACAGTAACAATTTAACAGAGTATATTTTTTTCTAAGAAAATATATGAATAAAAGAAATGATTATCAGCCAAAATAAACTAAGATTTGTGGAAATTACTTCTTTAACAAAAAATTTCATCTCAATCAAAGCAAATGAATAAAAAGAAACATAATAGGAAAAAAACACAAAAATAGTTTCTACAAGACTCAAGTCAGTTGTCAAGGATTAAAGAGGCTGGAGGAACTGTGTCTGAGGCAAAACCTTTGAAGGGATGTCCCAGAGGGGATGGCCTTCAGTGTCCATCATTGAGACCTCACAGTGGGTAGCTCTGTAGAGAATGGAGTAGTTCATTTCAGGAGAATTGTTATGCTGACTCTGTTTAGGAGGAAAAGGAGATGTAGGCAGTTGGGAAGATGGTTTCAAGAGGAGAGGAAGGACTATGGAAGAAAGACACATTTTTCCTAGAATCATATGGCTTCAGAAAGTTCAGCACAGGTGTGGGGCCTGAGGTGTGACAAAGACGAAGACAAGTCCATGCCTTTGTTTTTTTCCTATATTTTCTCAGGCCCCTGTGTATGTTTATAACAACACAGAAAGCATTTAGGCCAATCAGATAAATGGCATGAAGTCTATAAAATATGTTTAAGTAATAATCATCTACACCTCAGCTTCATACACAAGTTCTCAGAGGACTGAACAACTGTTCAACCAAAGCAGTGAAAGAAAGCAGATGTGTTGGCCCCGAAATGTCAGACTTTCATATGAAATTAGAAGATTTGTTGAATATAAATAACTCATTTTATGTGTGCCATTAAAATCAGCATAAAAATCTCTGTAAATTTTAGCCATGGACGTAGGTAACCTTTTCAAAACAAAACTGTCTGACCTAGAATTCCCCTCATGAACAAATAACAAAGTTAGAGAGTATTTCTGTGTATCTAGAGACAGATTTTTAAGTAAATCTAGAGGGTGTGAGAGATCCACACACAGCTGCATGAGTAGATAACTGAGTAGTTACTGCTAACAAGAGAGAAAGAGGTGTCATAAGAGATATAGAAATAACAGATTATAAACAGCTGATAAGCACCTGATAATCACATTAATAGATAGATAGATGATAAATGATCCATGGTACCTTATTTTGACTATTAAATAGAACATGTTCATAATATATAGCTGCCTAGATAATATTCACAGAAGTTGGTAGAGAGACATTAAACTACATAATGTCAGTACTAAAGAGCTGTAAGCAGAGAAATGACCATGGGAGTGTCCTCAAGTGTCTTAAGAGTACATGAGAAAGCATACTTTGTTCTCTCTGCTGACTTGGTGAAGGACTCAGAGCATTATGAGACTACTGACCACTGACATGCTTTCTGGGAGCCAGAAGGAAGCTTGGGATGTGACAAGCATTTATTCTGTAAATTACTGATTGACACAGCAGGCATCATCATCTGAAATTCATGCCTTCCTGAGAGGAAAATAGAGATTAAAATCAAGATGAAAAAGCTTCCCAATGCTGTCTCAATATGATAACCTATGCTAAGATAAACACGTGTGTGAGCAATCTCACCCTGTCGCTGAAGCTACCCAGTCTTAGAACTAGAGAGTTACTTCAGCATCAAAGAGGCTCTAAGACATCCAGACCTAACTGTCTGGTCAAATCTTCTGAGGTGGGGTGTAGTGTTGAAGAAAAGAAGCCTGGAATTATCTCGCATAGCATAGAAACTGTGAGTCTGGAAGTCTGGCTCCAGAAGCTGGAGGACAGTGGGCTGGTTAAAAATATGTGTATTAGAAAGGAAGACAGAAGAAAGTGTGCTGAGAGCTGGTTGGTAGACGTAAGGCCAAGCTATCCACCACACAGTGGCTCTGCTTGATATAGAGATGTACGGAATTCTCTGCTTCCACCATCTAAAAATATTGGACTCACTTATATTTATATTTGTGTTTTTTATTTTATTGCAAAGTGTTTTGCTAATTATATGTATGTGTACCACATGCCTGCCTGGTTCCCATAGAAGACAGAAAAGGGCAGCCAGTCCCTTGGAACTCGGAATTGCTTGGAAATGAATCTGGGTCATCCTACAAGAAGAACAAATGCTTTTAACTAGTGACTCCCTCCAGGCCTTTTGTCCAATTTTTACTAACATATTACTACTTGTTTTTTCTTGTTTCCTGTTTTCCTTTATATATCATGATATGAGATTTTATTCCCTTGTCTTTTGTAATATATTTTTTAGACTATTATTCATCGTCTAAAACCAGCAATAGGTAGTCTAAATACAAAATCTAGAATTAGAAGTAGTAGCTACTATAAAATTATCTTGACATTTTGTTGACTGTTTAACTCATTTTAACCTGCACTTGCAGAAACTGTTTTTCTGTTCTCCCCAGCACCCTTCCTTCCTTTTTTCCCTTCCGTAGAAGCAGTGTAAGGACTGTCTCCACTGGTGTGCGCACATATGCTGTGTGTGCGCACATATGCTGTGTGTGCGCACATATGCTGTGTGTTCGCACATATGCTGTGTGTGCGCACATATGCTGTGTGTGCGCAATATGCTGTGTGTGTACGCACATATGCTGTGTGTGTGCGCACATATGCTGTGTGTGTGCACATATGCTGTGTGTGTGCGCACATATGCTGTGTGTGTGCACATATGCTGTGCACACATGCTGTGAACCTAGCCACTGTCCATGTGCACCTCAGTTTTCTGTCACTCACAGATATATTTTGATGTGATAGGTAACATATGCAATAGCATATGATCATAATTTATATTATATTGCATTTTATATTTGCATATAATACCAATATTTAATTATTATGTCACAAAAGTTCATTTGTTAAAAATATGGTATCCCAGATATAAATGTCCCTATTAGAAAATTCCTCATGAAAGCTGAAATTTAGCTTTAAACCATGGATTATGGATTTGTCCTGGACCACAATCATTCCAAAATCAAATCTCTCTCTCCTACCTCCCTTTTTCTGTCTCCCTTGAAAATTAAATTTGGGTGATCCCAGTACCTAAATTTGAGATCTAGAAGACACAGACTGTCCCTGCTAGAAGAAGGAGCTTGTCATCCTGATCAAAGAGTATACTTATGGTCTCTATGGGGTTGTTTTTTAATGATTGCAGAATAAGTAATTTTCTTTACTTGACTCTCTGTTAAACACTTTGTTTATTGTGTCATTTAAACCTTGCCACAAGTCTACAAAGTATTTTTATTATTGTGCCCAGTTTTAAATGAGGAAATTTACAAGGAGGGAATTTTACCACTTGCCCAAATTACCAGAGCTAGTTTCCCAGCAACTGATGACCGAATTTAAGCCAGCTTTGATTCTCGTGGAATAGAACAACACTCTGCTTGGTTGTTGGTGCTCTTAGGCAACTTTTCTAGGCATAATCACATATCATATATGTGTTCTCTATTACACACGCACGTGCGCATACACACACACGTTCACATACATACATTAACTTTTATAATCTAATATTTTTGAGGTGATGTTTGGGTGACAAAAATTCAATCAAAGCAAATCAATATCATTCATATGTATAAATTCTAAATCTTTAAGAGGAATAAGTAAGCACATAAAATAATGGCTTTCATCATGACATTCACACACATGCACACACACACACACACACACACACACACACACACACAGAGTCACTGCATGGTTGTTATTTGCTTGCTCCCCTAACCCTTATACTGAGAACTTCTCTTGACTTCCGTTGTGTCTGTAAGAGACAATATGATATTTATCTTTCTCCATTCCCCCATCAAAAGAACACATAGTCTGTGCATGTTAATGTTGTAGGGACACAATTTCCATGCATTTATGATCATATATTTTCTTTCCTGTGCCCATGAAGCAATAGTTAGAATTAAATCTATTTTTCTTGTGTTTTCATGAAAAATTCTCAGGTCTTATAAATTATAGCTGAGCCACAATACTGCAAAATTAAGAAATTAATGAGGATCAGAAGGTTGCAATAATTTCTCTCAGAAGTCTATCATGATTTTTAACCTAACATTTTCAAGCCGTTACATGTCATCAGTGAAATTAGCTTTCCAATTTGAGTTGGTATATTGAGCTGATTGAACACGTTCATTGTTCACAGTGATTCTCACTGTGGGATTCTTATAAAACATAATAACAAGGCAAATTACCCTAAATATCACCTGCTTTACATGTGTGTAAGGAAAGAAAGCCCTTTATTAGCAGAGTATTTAGATGTAGCCTTTTGTATTGCTGTGGATTTTCATAATTATAGTTAGCTGTTTCTTAAATGTAGATAGATCAACTTCTTTTTGTAAAGTTCATGGAAAATAGTGGAATCATTTGGTATCTCGTCTTTATTCTTTTTTCTACTAACCTAGGGAAGAAATGAAGTCTCTCCAGGAGGCCCTGCAGAATCAGCTTAAAGAGACATCTGAGAAAGCAGAGAAGCATCAGGCTACAGTGAGTGTGTTTGTGTCTCTTTGTGTAATAGCTTTGGGACTGAGAATTTATTTCTTCCTTTTCTCCAATCACAATGGAAAAATACATCACAAAAAGAGAAAAAAACATAAAGACTCCACAACAGAAGCTTCAGTCATTTTGATCAGCATAATGCTTTGCCACAATTTCCTATAAGAAAAGGGTGAACGTTGGGTTTAATTTGGCGATCTTCTAGCTCCTACTGAAGAGGCAGACCAGGCACTGACTCAGGCTCTCTTTAGTGGTGCCTGGATGGGGTGGAAGCTGAACTAAAAGCCAGTTAACCTGTGCAGATCCTTCAGCTGTCCCAGACAGCCACGGCACGGGAATCACTCAGGCCAAGCTGTCTGCTTCGTCATCCATCCTACAGATTATTCATAGGGTAAAACCTACAGTTTCAGAATCCAGCTGCCTCCTAGATCTTTGCAAGATGATATCCTTTTGATATACGTACTGTGGCTTTTATCAGTGATATTCACCAGAGACAGGAAATTGGCTCCTGAAGCAATGCTGGGATATTAGTCTCAAATTTATTTCTCAGACTCACTTTTGTAACTCTTGGAAAATTAAGAGTTCTATATAGTAACTAGTGCCTGAATCTCCTTTTAAAAATAAAATATATAATATCAAACTCTGTTTGCTAGACATCAATAGATTTGAATGTACTACTGAGAAGATGGATGGTAAGTTTTATCCAGGGCCCCCAAGGAGAAGGCTAGTGCTGACCAGAGAGAACTGGACAGTAGATCCCATTATGGCCCCCAGAGAGAACTGGACAGTAGATCCCATTATGGCCCCCAGAGAGAACTGGACAGTAGATCCCATTATGGCCCCCAGAGAGAACTGGACAGTAGATCCCATTATGGCCCCCAGAGAGAACGGGACGGTAGATCCCATTATGATTTCAGAGACAGTGCAATGGTGAGACAGCTAAAGAGGCTCAGGATGGGCAGTGTGAACAACTGCAGTAACCTTGAGACATAGGAGCTTCTTCCACATTGTGGGTACCCGCCCCTAAGGTCACTAGGGCAAGTCGGAAGTGGTTTGGAGTGTCTCTAGAGGGTATTATTCTTCAGCTGATTGATTGTTAGTTGAAAGTATGGTCCTGAGAGTACATGACCTATTGTGGCTCCAGGGAAGGAGGCAGGAAGAGAGAGAAGGGTATTTCAAGCATATTATCGGGCTAGTGAGAAAGAAGCTGGTCCAGCACATGGTTCTTGGAGCGAACTCTTTCCAGACTGTCAATAAAATCCAACCTCAGTTTTAGAAACCAGAAACAAGATTAATGCAGGTACCCATCTTGTTCAATTACTGGAAGCCCAGGCTCTCTAGAAACTCTGGTGAGCCTTTTATTTGCAATGCTTCTATAAACTTTGGTTGGAGTGTGGAGTTTTGAGAATGACCCTCAGTTCAGTTTGTCACCCTGGACTGCTGAGTCCTAAGGACAGTCTTCCTCGTAACGACGACCTGCTTTGCTGTCTTAGGAATGTTTCCTGGAAGTTCTCATTCTCTCTTCCTGATAAAACATGCTTAGGCCAAATGGAAACAATGCGTGATTTTATGTAAGACGTCATAGTGCTTGGCTATCTGGGCACCAAACCTTTGTAAAAGAATGGACAGGTTTTAGTGTCTTCCTAGTCAATGTTTCCCTCAATATGGACTTAGAATGTTGGATGGCTCTGTTTGTGATCTCATTTGTGCTGTTCAATAAGACTTCATTTGAATTTATCTTGGGGAATTTAATCTGATAAAAAGTGGTGTCCTCGAGAACAGATGTGCTGTATTCACTATTTTCTCAGACTCTTGTCATAAAGCCATATTGTTTGATCGATTGATTCCTAAGAAGCTGTAGCTCACAGGAGGTAAAGTACTGGCTCACTTTACATTGCTAGTGGGCAGAGCAACCAAGGCACACACCACAGTGATAACCATACTATACACAGACGAGTTCCAAGGAGAACATTGTCACTCTTGAAAGAACACAGGCCCAAGGTAGAATATCCAGCCATGAAAATGCCCTGGATACAGAGTATGACCCCTGTGCCCACCCAGTGTGCTCTCCATACCATTTTTTGTGGAGACTTAAAAGCTCCTCAGAGCTGTGACATTCCTATCCCCACTTCCCTCACATTTCTCCTGAGCCTAAACCTGCTTGTGGGGACTGGCTTAGTATTCCATTCTTAGAATAATTCTTAGTGGAACAGGATTCTGTGGACTTGATCAGGTTCTGCCAGTTTGCTTATTTATCCAGTTAAGACAGTGTATCACATTAAAATAATAAGGGCTGTTGTTATTATTAAAATAACAATAATATACTATTAAAATATTTTATTATTATATAGAAATAAAATAATATTATAATTGAAAGTGTAATTATATCTGGATTATAGGCTATAGTAGACTTGAAAGTGATATTCTGTCCTTCCTTCTCTGCCCACCATTTTTATTACAAATTCATATATGGTCATTTCATTTCCCTCAGACTCTCCTACCAACTACTTACACAGCTCTCCATTGGTGATTATGATTCTGTGCACACAAAGTACTAAACAGAAGGGATGATAAATTGTAATTAACTTCAAAATTGTAGGCTATCATTGTCACTACCACCTGCTAATGTCATAGTAAGCCTTATCAATGATGACATAGGATTAATGTCTTACAAGGGGAGACTCACATAATGTAATCTGCTCTGAATCATTAGAGATGTTCTAATGTTCTATACTAAGTCATTGCTAATCAAAACCATTTAGTTACACAATCAGGACACCATCATGGGTCTCCAGCAGCAATTCCTACTGGTTGACAATGAGCTCTGTGAGACTGATCTGAAGTTCAGAATCACAAATATTCCTGTCACAAGCTCGAGCTGTATCACCAATCTAACAATGATCTCTGACTAAACACCTGAAACTTCATTCTATTTAGTAATGGCAAGACAATTCAATTTTGGTAATGCTTAGTATGTTCTTACCTACAGATGCACTATCATTGTTATTTACTATAATTGTATTAAATATGTTTAAAGTCACATGTGTGCCAATATTTAGAAGTATGTAGGCATATACAAAAGTGTATGTAGACACAAGGTGCTCTTTCAGAATGATTGTGTGTTGGGAAACAAAGAATTATATTACGACATAAAACATATGTCCTTTATTCATTATCTGTGTTGGAAGATTATAATGAAGAAAAGCAATTTTCAACATAAGCTGTCATCATTTTTTAATATTGCTAGTTCTAAGGCAGTGGGATGATGTGAAGATGCACCACACGATTTGCTTCTTTCCTGAACTAAAGTTAGAAAACCTGTCACATCACCCAACATGACAGTAAAAATCATAAAATGTATGCGTTACAAAGAGAGCAGCTCATAGGATAAAGCAAAGATTCCAAGTCACCAACTTCAAAGCCTCTCCTGAGGTGACTCCAGGTGCGGAAAGGGAAGAACTCTTTTCGTTTTCTTTGATCTTCCCTGCAAAGAGCTAAGAAGGAGATGAAAGGAAAATGGTGGGGATAAAAACAAGTATAATTCAGTAACGTTCGGTGCAGACATCGGATTTCCATAGTGAGAACTTTTTATGTGACTAAACTTTCATGGGAATGGACGACTTGGAACATCCTGGGACAGGGGATGATCAAATGTCTGCATGAGTTGTGTTAGTCCCACAGATATAACGGCAGAACTAGAAGACTACTGAGTACAATAAGAAAAGAAAACAAACTTCCAAACTAATAAAAATCCTCACGTATTAGAAATAACAATGAAGTGAAATAGTTTAACGGTATTAAAACAAAATCTTAAAATGGGACATAATAAAATTAAAAGTATTGGAAAATGTGTAAAGATATGATAAATTGAAAACTGAAACTTTTACATCATGAACAACTTAGGAAAATGAAGACAAAATCACATTTAAGGAAAACAGCTGCCAAGATACTAATGTTTTCTAAGGAAAGATATTTACAGAACAAAGGTGTTACTAGCAATGGCTTTGCAAACCCTAGGAAAAATTGAAATTATCACACTCTGTTCTTCCCCAAGCAGTAAAACTTCACACAAACAGCCTCAACCCCATCCATCCATAAGTAAGAGCGAGGTAGAGCAAGTGACCAAATATTGCTAAAATGACATCAGTAATGTAAACTATTAGAAATAACTGAGAAATCTTCAATAAATTATTTTAAAAGTAAACAAATAATGACAATGGAATTTTTACAAATGTGTTTGGCAAGGCCACAGAATGTCACCAAGAGGAAACAGCAAGCAATCTTCTTCACGAACAATGTTGCCCTTACAGTAAACAAAATGATATCAAACTTGTTAAATCAACTATAAAAAGATTATTTATGCCAGAGAAGTGAATTCATAACAAAGAATTCAAGGATTGTTCAAATATTCGTATTAATAATGGAAGCATTCTATATCAATAATATGAAGATAAAGAATACATGATCAACAGATGCACAAAAGGCACTTGATAAAATGCAATCACTTCATGAAGAAAAACGAACAAATTAGGAAACAAAGGTCTATATCTTAATGCACAGATCCCTTACAGACTCAAAAAGCTAATATTATAATCAATATTGTAAGTTTGAAAGCTTTATGACACTTAGAGCAAGAAAAAAAATGCTAATTTGTCATGACTTTTAGACATCCAAATTGGGAAAGTGAAATTCAAATCATCACTTCTGCAGATGTTTTGATCAAATATATCAAAACCCAGAAAACTTTTCCAGAAAGATCTTTTAAATCACGATTGAATTCCTCAGTGCTTAAGGGTACAAAACTCATGCAAATGTGAATAATGTTCTCATGTCCTGATAGTGAACCAGCTACTATAGATACCAGTTCAATGTGCTTTACAATGGCTACAGAATAACAGGAATGCATTTAACAGAGTAAAGGAAATACACCTATCATAAATATTGTAATAGCATTACTTTGATAATTAAAAGAAGCACATACCACACAACCA